TAGATATTTAAAATCAATTATTCTTAAAGTCATTAACTATTGAAATAAAATATAAAAAATTGTTTTTATAGTGATTTGAAAATATGTACATTAGATCATACTTAAAATTAACAAAAATTTATTAAAATCTATTTTAAACCTCAATAAATTAGATTTTGAAAAAAAAAATATGCGTATCGGTAAGTTTTTTTTAAATTGTGTGAAAAATAAAAAAAATCACAGTTCCGGTTATCGTAACCGTTACGTTATGGCCTTTGCACCTTGCAACTGGCACCACAACCGTTTCGGCGATCGCAACCGCTTTTCAGAAGCTTAGTCACATGTCATCGCTTATCTATTAATATATATAGAGTAGTGAAATAAATATGATAAAAATTATAATCAAAGTAAATTAATGGATGCTATTGCAGTTGTCAAAAAAAAAAAAAATTGTTTTATTTGTCTTTTCAATTTTTTGATTTAATGTAATGTGAGAGATTAGTGTGACGGAAAAAATTAGTGACACATCTACAATTAGTAACGCATCCTTCACTGATTTTTTTTTTTTTATTTTTTACCTTTACAATTTTTTGTGAACGAAGAGCCTTTACAAATACTTTACTGTATCAAAGTAACAAGAGAGTGATACATTACAAAATTTTGACATCAATAGAATAAAAAAATACAAATAAAACATAACAAGATCAAAGAATGACGACGGTATCAGAATACCAATACATAAAACATAACAAGAAAGAGTCACTATATATGTATAATAACAAAATTGCGTCTTTATAATTGAAAGATCTAAGAATCAGTATCCAAACAAAACATATGTTAAGATCAAAGAATAACTACATATGTATTGTATTATATTATATTCACAATACACGATATCACACAAGTACTAAACCATGGTAGCACAAAATGACCTACAAAAGGGACATTGACTAGTCTTTGGCAACCACTTAAACAAGCAATCTCTGTGAAACATATGCAAGCAAGGCGTTATCGCAACCATCATTCCTGCACATATCTCCCCCAAACAAATCGAACAATCATCAACTGGTTTTTCATCATTGTCTCCATCAAACTCCTTCACTCTCATCGCAGCCTTAATCTCGTGAAGCCCTTGACACTTATGGCACGACATTGGTTTCTCCAGGTCGGACAATAACTCACCACGAATCTCTTCAATTTCTTCGACAGACAATTTGCTGCACTTTAGACCCTTGGATTTATCATCATCAGCATCATCATCTATAACTTTTGGCTTCTTGCGCCATGAAAAGGGTGATGGCGTAACCCTCTTTTGCGTATACCTCATAGTTATCGAAATATAAACATCTACCACTATGACGATTGTGGGATTTTGATAGAGTGTTTCTGTGATACCCCTGTTCTGTAATACGTTAATTGGTCCTTAATACGAATGTGATTATGCGTTTTGATATGATTTTGTGTGCCATCATATGAAAATATGTGGTTTTGAAGTTCTATCTGTTCACCGTAGGAATATCTGTTTGAATAATCTGCTTTGGAAATTAAATTGGAGGCCTTATCGGCCACAGAACCCGAATCGATTATGCCATTGTAAATAGCGTAATTTTTAGAGCCTACGGTAAAATTTAATTGAAAATTGATTCGGGTCAGATTAAATTAATTTATTTAATGGCATTGTGCTCAAACTGTTTAATATCTTTTTTAAATTGTGGCTAGTGGGGTTTGTTATATTTGAGCACTACACTTCCCATTCTCTCCTATGACCTCATTTTGGCTAATCAAACCTTGAGAAAGGGAGAAAGAGTCGGCTGTTAGAGAGAGGGAGGAGAGAATTGTGCATTTGTGGTTCAAGACTTGGACCTTTTGGAGATTAAGCTCAAGTATTGCTAAATTGGGAAGATTAAAGCTCCTTGGTGAGTGATTCATGCATTATAGTCATCATCTTGTGAATTCAAGTTTAATAGATGGCCAAGAGCATGAATTAGTTTGAAAGTAATGGAATTGAGTTGTATATGTTGGATTTCAAGTTAATTGAAGCATGCATGTAAAGAATTGCTATAGATTTCCATGTTTGAGCTTGATTTTGTAATCTATGTAGAAGTTTGAATGAAATCTATGTGCATGACCATTTCTTCACCAAATAAGTTGTGAATAATGTGTATTTCTTACATGCAAGAGTAGATCATGAAGGGGTGAGCTTTGCATGCTTGAATGAGATGTATTGGTGATGAGTTTGATGGGAGATTGGGGCATGCATGTGAATTAATTGTGAATTGAGCTCCATTGGGTTGAGATTTGGGGTTTATATCATATTAGTATGCTTATATTTGAGAATTGAGCCATAACATGCATGATTTGTTGGTTGAACATCGAATTGGAGCTCAAGAACTCAATCTGGAAAACCCAGATTTTTTATGCCCGCTCGAGCGGGTGAAGTGCTGCTCGAGAGGGAAATCGTGCTCCCAACACTTTTTGCAGACATGGTGCCCGCTCGAGCGGGGAAGTTGACACTCGAGCGAGGAGCTATGTAGACAAGCCATCCGCTCGAGTGGCAGAGTTCACGCTCGAGCGTGATTTTGATGTAACCAGTATTTTTGCAGGCCTTAAGGGTCCGCTCGAGCGGGGAAGTCCACGCTCGAGCTAGAACCTTATTTTCTGAAATTCTGAAATTGCATTCTGTGTTCTGTTTTTTGTTTTCTGTTCTCTTTCACTTGTAAGCACTCTTAGGCATGCATTGAGAATTGTAAATGAGTTAACGAGATAAGAATAAAGCCTAAAGAGGAATACGAGAATGAAAGAACGGATTGAACTGTTAGTGACCCTTTTGTGTTCATTAAATGTGTAGGGTCAAGCTCCAGGGCAAATCCACAAGCCAATCACTGTGAGTAATATCGATATTTGAAAGCTTGGCAATGTCTAACTGTTTATTCCCTTATAAGCTTTATGAGTTGCTAATTGGGATTGTGGACAAAAGTCTGACATGAACGAATGAACGGACCGAAGGTCGTTTTGATAGAAATAAATGGACCTAAGGTCGTTTTGACATGAATGAGTAGGCCGAAGACCGTTTTGACACGAATGTATGGGCCGAAGGCTGTTTTGACGTAAACAAATGGGCCGAAAGCCGTTTTAACGCGAATGTATGGACCGAAGGCCGTTTTGACATAAGTGATTGGGCCGAAGGCTGTTTTGACATGAATGATTGGGCCGAAGGCCGGTTTGACATAAATGATTGGGCCGAAAGTCGTTTTGGCACAAATGAATGGACCGAAGGTCGTTTTGACATAAATGAATGGACCGAAGGCCGTTTTGACATAAGTGAATGGACCGAAGGTCGTTTTGACAAGACATGAATGAATGGGCTAGAGGCCGTTTCGACACGAAAGTGTAAATAGGCCTAAAGGCCAGTTTGATACAAAAATATGAATGGGCCGAAGGCCAGTTTGATACGAAAGTCTGAATGGTCCTAAAGGCCAGTTTGACACGAGTAATGGTTTGACAATGAAACGGATAAATTGGGCCCGAGGCCGTATGATGTGTTTGGAACCACAGTTACTTAACTAACATATGTTTATGTATGTATATATTAGTTAGAAACGCAAATTGGGCCCGAGGCCGTTTGATGTATATTGTTCCAATGTATATTCTTTATTTAATATTATTCACTGGGCTATCGCTCACGCTCATTCATATGCTTGTAGGTGAGCCAAGAGAGGTCCAAACCCAGCCTCAGTGAAGTCAGTATGGGACAACCGAGTTTTGGAGAGTCAGCCCTTGCGTCTCACGTACGAGACTCGTCTTCGCCCCTTTGCTGTGTATTTATATTTTGTCATGTTGGCGAAGTTTTTGTATATGTCTGCTTATAGTTTCTATGGGTTGACTTAGTTTTGGATGATCCTGTCTGTATAGAACTTATGTCACTATGTTTCTGTTGTGAGTTATTAATGTACATGTGTATGGTTTGTTTTGATATGCCATGTAAGCATAGCTCTATGGACAAAGTTTTAAATTTTGCTTCCCTTTGGCCCCTTTTACTCTGATAAGTTTTGTCTGGATTGATTTGAGGCCGTAGGTAATCTCACGATTACTGGCCGGTTATGGCCTTAACCTATGGGGGCGGGTTCGGGTCGTGACAGAGTGGTATCAGAGCACGAGTTAATAACTCACACACTTGTCCAAAAGAGCAATAAGCGTCTAGATAAGATCTAGGATGCATTCATGTGATAAATATGAATTTGGAAGCATCAAGAATATGCAAGTGTTTCGATATGAACAGTTATGTGCCATAAATTCGTGAATTGCTTGCATTGTAAACCATTGGAATATGTATGCTTTCTGATATATGCATACTTGTAAATCTTTTGTATAAGGTATAATGCAAGTTTAATCAGATGGGGAATAAGAACTCTATAAGGTTATGTTTAGCCTTAATTATTTTTTGATGGTATGAAATGACATGTTCCCTGAAATGCTATGTTTGGTATAAATGAATGATTGTCTAAATTCTCCTTGAACGTAATTGTGGTATCCTTGGTGGAGGCCCTCGCCCAGAAGACATAATACTGTGGCTTATGGTCATGAGGCCCTAGCCCGGGGGAAATAATGCCGTGGCACAGGCCCTCGCCCGGGGGAAACAATGCCGTGGCCTATGTATGAGATATGTTACCCGGTACCAGAGGTTCCATTATGGAACTTGATATGCTTGACCAACATGATATGCTATGCTAAAGGAAGTACCACACATGATTTGAATATGAGATATGAATTGTTACACTAATGTGTACAACAAGTTTGTTTTGTTATAATGCACATACATGAATATATGAATCATGAAAAGTTGTTTATGTGCATTCAATTCTGCCTACGGGTGTCTATGTGAAATATGAACATGATTTGAGTATATAATTACTTAGTAAATGTTCAGCATGCGATATCTGATAAGTATGCAATTATCTATTACGTATGTGATTAATTACATACGATATGTGAAATGAGAATATAAAGACGTGCCTATGTGTGACTATGTGTTTATTTTTGTATTAGACATCCCCGTATTTGGCATGATTTAATAAGAGTTCGTGTAGAACGTAGTTACAGTAAGGGCATACGAGTTGGCAGACTCTTTTACAGCCCGACCTGATAGACTGGAAAAAATGGTACAAGAAATGGCAGAGATCTTAAGACAACAACGTCAGTTGCTGTTATGGTAAGAACTTTTGCCATCACCAGTGTAAGAAATGCCGATGAGTCGTTGTCGGATTTCGGGGGCTTGTTATAGGTGTGGTAAATGGACCATATGGTAAGGAATTGTCCCCGAACTGAACAAATGCAAGTAAATCTTCTGCCTTAGTTGAATTCGTACCAATGGTGGGAATTGTTAATCAAGATAGAGTAATTGCACTCGTCCCAGAATGCACTCAGAATACTGTAACCGTTATCCCAGGTATCTACGTTGTTTATAAACAAATGCATATGTGTTGATTGATTCTGATATAGTACGTTTGTACATCTTCGCTTGGGATATTATTTGATTCGGATCGGCATATTTTTCCATATCTGCTGCATGTGTATCTAGATTGGTTAGACCCACATGATTGAGACTGCATTCATTGGAGGTATATGCCCCGTTTGGGAAATTTGTGAAATACGTTTTGGGATATTGATTAACTCTGCATATGCACATGTATATCTACACCTATGCTCAGGGCAATTTATTATGTTGTTGTCTTCAATGACTAAATCACTGGAATTATGATTCTGCGATTGTGTGACCGAGTTGAGCACCCCAAATAATGAATTCTATGATTGTGAGACCATACACTTCGATTGGTAGGAAATTGACTGGATTATGTGACTATACTGGGCTCGACTTATAAACCTATGTTTTGTGATTAATTTGGAACTTTTGCATAACAAACCCTATCTTATGTACAACCGATGAACTTTGTTTAATGTATTACTGTGCACCATGTGCTTACATATAAGACCTATTTGGAAGCTGCTATATCGATTATGATATATACCTCCTGATATGAACAACTGCATGCATATGCAACTACACTTGAACTTATGTGGACAATGCCATATTGTACATGACTTGAAATACTTTGATATGAACAGTTGAGATGAATGGTTTTGATATGACCTTGAGAATTGATGAACTTAGGACAGTTGTGAAACTATCAGCCATGTGCCTAAGCAAACGAAGTGAGCCTTATAGAACCGAATGTATCCCATTTGAGAAAACTTTTATCTGATTCGATCCGATAAAACCTTTGTTTGATTTGATCTGATAGAACCCTCATTGGATATAATTTGATGAAC